TTGATCAAAGTCACCCCTCCAACTAATCCATGGTGACAGAAAGCAGATCAGTGGTTGCCTGGGGATCACAGGGGGAGGGATCAGAAGGACACAAGGTGGCTTTTGGGGGTGATGGATATGTTCCCTATCTTGATCGTGGGTGTAGTTTCACACATATATACACATATCAAAACTTATCAAATTGTACACTTTAAATACGTGCAGTTTAGTATATGTCAATTATACCTCCATAAAGCTGTTAAAAATAGTCACGCATCTGGTCAGAGGCGGAGCAGGGATAGAACACACATCTTGTGCCTTGAGGCCTTCACACTTCCCCTGAACCCCAGCGCTGTCTGAAAACCAAAGCCTATTTCAGTTGTGAAAATGCCTTTTCCCCAATGTGATTTTTTAAAACGTCATAGTTCCAAATTTTCTATAATGAAAAATAGTAACACCCTTGACAAAACAGCAGCAGGTGCCATCCAGCAGTTCCACCCTGACCTGGTCCGTAGATAGAGAGAAGTGTACCCCACGGGGTTGGGAGGAGAGTGGGGCAGAGCAGGGTGTGATTTTGTTCCATTTGCCTATGTTTATCTCGGGCAATGCTTATGAAATGTATCATCTCTGGATGCATCCAGACAATTTAGGAGAAAAAAGATAAGGATGGGTTTTTATAGGACTGTACTTTGTGGTGTAGCTGGTGGCCCCCACTGGGCCAAAATAATTTCTGAACAATCCCTGGATGAGGAAGAGGCAGGAAACCTTCCAGAAACGTTCTAATTCCTCTTTTTCTCCCTCTCTCCCTAGTCAAACGCAGCCAGGGCCATCAGGTGTGGCCAGCTTCCGAGATTTAAAACAGCTTCTTTGTGGGAAAGGTTAAAGAACAGGGAGAAGGGTGGGTGTACTCCACCCACACTTGGCTTTATTGCCGAACTGGCGCTGACCAATGGGTGCCCAGAGAGAGTCTGTCCAGCCGGCCCAGTGTGCTCACTGCATGGAAAATAAGTCTTCTGGTTTCCCTACCAGAATATGTTTTCACGAGCATTTGCCTCTCTGCAGGAGCTAGGAAGAAACATGCATGCATTTTCCTATTATTTTTTAGAATTGCGAATGTAACACACACTTGTAACAAATTCAAACAACACAGAATCATGTGAAATGCAAACAGGGGATAGAGCATGAGCAATGAATGGCCCAGGGGGTCAGATGAATTCACCATGATTTCTGTCCATGTCAGGGAGTCAGGGAGACATTAGCGCAGGCGTGGGAGGTGCTGTTACCAAGTTGTCCGAAGTGCCTGGGGATACAGGATCAACTCTGAGAGCTGTCCTCTGGGTGTCCACACTACCAAAGACATTTAACTCATTGTGCAGCTTCCTCACATTTGCCTCCCCTGAGTCTCCCACCCCGGATCCTTTGCCCTTCTCTGCCTTGCTCTGTGCTCTAGAAGACTGACCCTAACAGATGGCATCACCGGGACTCTATTGCCCTCTGGCACTTGGACTGAACAATGGGAGGCACCAGAAGGAGAGAGAGTCGGGGTATTTATTCCCCCTGTGTCCTCTCTAACAATGGCTGTGTCCCTTCAAGACGACGGCCCTGTGTGGCAGCCCCTTCACCAGGGCTCCAGCCCTCCATCCCTTTGGGCCTGGGTAATGGCAGTGGCTTCCCACAGTTGCTATTCTCTGGTCATCTCAACATCCCTTAGTGTTCCTTAACCCTGCCCCACCTCTAAGAAGGTCTCTGCTTGGAAGTGGTCTGATGCATCCATCATGTTGCAATTAACTGTTTAAGATTCTTCTCCCCTCCCAGTCTGGGAGGAAGACACAAGAGCTGGGAGTGTGACTCTTTAAGCTCTATCTCCTCAGCACTTAGCACAGGGGACTCAACTAACTGTTGAGCTGCCCAGGGGTTTGGGACATTTTACTGGAAGGTGACCTTAGACCTGGGTTTTAAAGGGCACTGCTGTGTGGATGACCACATCATTGTGCCTGATGAGGTTTATCCTACAGGGGACAAGGTCTAGGCCCACCCAGATCTCATTGTATAGTATCCAGGGCAACATGGCCCTAACAATTTAGGTCCTGAATCACACACTTTTGTTGATGATGAGGAGGACACTGACGCCAATAGTGATGACGATGACAATGACGAAGTCCACTTACCTGAATGAGTCACGGGAGATTTCATTTTAGCACTGTGTCCCTCTGCCATAGTGCAAGATATCTGCTTTTTTGGTCAATCTTTTTACTGAGGTGTAGTTTACAGACAATGTCATGTTCCAATTTGAAGAGTACAGTTGGATGAGTTTTGAGAAACTTATTTACTGTGTAACCACCACTCCCATCAAGATATAAGGCATTTCTATCACTCCAGAAAATTCCCTTATGCCCCTTTTCATTTAATCCCTGATCCAAACTCTCCAAACTCCTCTACCATCAAAGCTAACCACTGTCCGATCCCTCCCCACCTCCCTCTCCCCAATCTCCCACCACCTCGTGTCCAACAAATTCCTTGTTGCCACTCTCAAACCGTAGTGATCCCTGCCTCTGTGCCTATTCTTGTGCTTTTCTCTGTGATGTACCTGAATTTTTCCCTTTTCACTGGTTAACTCCCCATCTTCCTTTAAGAATCCTGCTCTAGGAAGTCTCCCTGATCTTCTCTTCTGCTCAGGCTGGATGAGGTGCCCTGCTACAAAGTCCTGTAATGCAGGGACTGGATCTCCACCATATACAGATTGTGTTTTATAACATTTTGTTCAAATGTTCTTCTCCCCTGTAGCCTGTGAGCTCCTAGAGACAGGGACTGGGTCATATTCTGCTTTGAATTCCTGACTCTAGCACAATGCCTGGCATGCAGTATGTCTGTTGTTTAAATGCATAGGGAATGAAGTCAATTATTTTTTTCAGGACGCTAAACTTTTAACACCACATTATGCATTAGGCCCTTTTGATTGCAAGAAACAAAGACTCAAGATATGTAGGAGGATTCGTGAAGATATATGTGCCCTTGGAAAGGCACGGAGCCAGGTTAGCCCCGGGGATGCTCTGTTGGCCTTGTGGCCCCTCGGCTGCTCTCGGACTGTTTAGTTTGTTTGCTTCTCTTTTCTGATTGGCTTCCTCTGCTCACCTTTAGTTTCTGCTTCCTCGTGAATTCACCTTGCATTCGGCCTCAGCTTCCTCCAGTCCCAACTAGACCTCTGCCTGTCTCCAGCTGACATTTGTGAAGGTAATAATCTAACAAGCTCATGTAAGCTTTTCAGATCTATATAATGGTCACATTATGGGCCGGGGACTGGCTGCTGGGTCACATGCTCAGCATCCCTGGTCCAATGAGCTAAGGGGGGGGGGGGTCCCACAAAACGTGGTTGCTTGGAGAGCACGGCCTGATAGAAGAAGCAGTGTGGAGGAGAGTGGCAGGCACTCTGGGGGCCCTCCTATCCTATTACTGAGCAAAGTCCCCTGTATTTTTGCCCCTCTTTGCTCCTGAATAATTTAAATTTTCTCATCCTTGATCTTAGGAAAGCCACTTATCTCCTTTCTGCTTAGGTTTTATAGAATTTAAGGAACGTTGAAGCTGGAAAGAAGCTCATAATTCATCTGTTCCAGCATATCCCAGTGTGTGTTCTTTTTTTTTTTTGTGAGGAAGATCAGCCCTGAGCTAACATCCATACCAATCCTCCTCTTTTTGCTGAGGAAGACTGGCCTTGAGCTAACATCCGTGCCCATCTTCCTCCACTTTATATGGGACGCTGCCACAGCATGGCCTAACAGGAAGTGCGTCGGTGCGCGCCTGGGATCCGAACCCCGGCCGCCAACAGCGGAGCGCATGCACTTAGCTGCTATGCCACCGGGCTGGCCCCCCAGTGTGTGTTCTATATAACACTAGGCCCAAAAGATGCTGCATAAAATAAGTCAGGATATTCCAGCACTTTCCTTGGAGCTTAGCTCACACCAGGAACATACTTCTCAGTGGCCTAGTTTGCTTGGCAGGATCTCTGGTCTTCTGCATGGACGGACCCCTGTAGGGTCCAGCATCCTCTGGATGAGTGAGTGTTGTGTGAATGTGTGTGTGCACACGCACACGTGAGTATGTTTCCTGAGAAAGCATCCATAACTTTCATCAGATTCTTATAGGTATGTATGACCAAAAATATGGATGAGAACCACTCATCTAAAGTGGACATCCATTGACTATGCCTTTCTGAGTCAAAGTCTTCTTTGTTAGCTTCCAATGTAAACTTTTTATCTGCCCCAATTGATAGCCATCCAACTTGTATAAATAGGAAAAGGTGCTTTATATGGCAAAACTGGAAACGTCCTGTTGATTACTTAGGAGGGTCATCCTTTTATTTTCTAGATATGAAAACACTAAGGACCAGAGAAGTAAAATATAATTGCCTAGACCAAGTAGCTGGCCCAGCAGGGACTACAACTTTCTCCTGTACCTCCTTCCTTTCTTTTATTAACCAACATCTCACCAATTCCACTTATGATTTATTTTCTCTATATATTTCCAAACATTTGTTGAGGGCCAAGCACTGTGTTACACATTTCCCGGTTAAATGATATAACCATTCTTCTGTTGGATATTATTATTCCACTTTTTATTGTTACTTTTCAGACAAGGAAATTGAGGCTTAGGGACTTTAAGGAACTTGCCCGAGGTTGCCCAGCTGGCTAGCGGCAGAGCCGGGATAGGAAAGCCCGTTTTTCCCACCGCGCTAATTAATGAGCGGCTTTGTCTCACTTCTGTGCATAACTCCACCCCAGGTTAAAAGGCTCGCCCTCTGCGACAGATCCTTCACTCACGAGTCCGGGACACGCGGGTCTCACCTGAGGCTCCCAGTCCGGGCGGAGCCGGACGCCGCCCCCTGGCGGCAGGTGGGCGCAAGCGCAGCGCATGCTAATAAGCCCGCGGCGCGGCTCGCTGATTGGCTGGCGCGGATTCCAGCTGCTCTCCGGGGGCGTGTGCCGGGCGGGAGTAAAGGGGGCGCCGCCAGCAGCAGCCGCCCCGCCCCGCGCAGCCGGCTCCCCCCGGACGCCAGGGCGTGTGCGGGCTCGCTGGCTCTTGCACTTGGGGGCTTTTCCTTTCCTCTCCCGTCTGTGTTCTGGTTCTGAATTCATCCAGGGTCCAGGATGACAATCCGACACCAGGGCCAGCAGTACAGGCCGAGGATGGCATTTCTCCAGAAGGTGAGCGTGGTCCCCTCTCCGGGACCCTGGGAGGTGCGCAGGGACCCAACTCTGGGAAGTGTCCGAGGAGATGTTGGGAGGCTCGGAGCGTGTGGGCCGCAGTGGAGGAGTGGAGGGCATCCCCTGTGGTCCGTTAGTGTTATTGATGCTATTAAACGACTTATTTGCTGTGTGTGTGTCTTTTAAAGACTATAATGATTAGGTTTCCTTGTAACCTGTTTTTAGTGAAGAACCTGAAGCCAGAGGCGATGGTCTGCTGGAGGCTGAGAACAACCTGTTACTCTGGAGAGGAGGGTGCCAGAAGGCAGTTCCGCCGAGGCTGTGTCAGATTTGAGCCAGTCTCCTGATATTGTTATAAGGCACCCAGATGTTAAATTAACATTTTTGCCATTTTTCTGATCCCAAACTGCAGTATTTTAGAGTAAATGTGTGGTGTGGTGAGTGCGTACACATAGACCATGAAAAAATGGTGTGATTTGTGGGATAAAGGGACACCCCACTTCCAGCACCCCCAGATCCCACATTCGAGTATGTGTGTTTGTGTATCTCCGGTGTCTCTGTGTTGGCAGCAGATGTCAGAACCTTTTCCCTTCTGTTGCAAAGGCTTTCTCAGACCTAGTGGCCAGGCACAGGTGTCCTGTGGACATGTGGGAGGTGGAATGCACCTTGTAGGGTGGTGTGTTTGGGGACGAAGTGGCTCATTTTGTTCTGGGCTTTTGAGATAACCAGTGTCGAAAGAGATTGACAGAGGATTAGGTCCCAGGTCACTTGTCTACCCGTCCCTTCACAGCCACTTTTCACAGTGCAGTGTCCACCTTCTTAGGCTTATCCTGTTGAGTAGAATTAGCTCAATGCTTTGTGACGAGCTGAGCCCTGCCCTGGGCCCCTGGGGCTCAGCAAATTGGCTGATTTACCCAGGACTTTCAGTGCTAAAACCTGGACACTCTCAGGCACATTGGGCAGTTGGTCACACTCGGTCCACCTACTTCCAGAAGCTTGTGCTCATATTCCAGGTGGTAGAGGTGTGGGGATCATCCATAAAATGGAGAGGCGGAGTGTTGTCTCACTCAGAAAGAACCCTTAAAGCCTGTATTGCAGACACCACTTCCTAAGAGCAGAAGAAAGCGCCCAAGCCCAATATCTGCAAGCCATAAGTCACCTTCCAGGATTTTCTCAGGGTCCTTTCTCTCCCAGGCAGAGCAGCTCGGGCTTGGAGGCTCAGAGAGTGATTGTCTGAAGTCCTTCTGTTTGTTTTCTGAATCTTGGACATTCTTTTCCATCATTTTTCTCTCTTTACCTTGGCCTTCTGACTAGTGTCTTGGTCTCCAGCCTCCTCCTCCCACCCCAGCCTCTCCTCCTCTACCCCAGCCTCCCCTCCTCCACCCCAGCCTCCCCTTCTCCATCTCAGCCTCCCTTCCTCCACCCCAGCCTCTCCTCCTCCACCCCAGCCTCCTCCTCCAACCCCAGCCTTCCTTCCCACCCCAGCCTCCCCTTCTCCACCCCAGCCTCCTCTCCTCCACCCCAATCTTCCTTCCTGCCCAGCCTCCCCCTCCCACCCCAGCCTCCCTACCTCCATGACATCCTTTATAAGCACACTGGTTTTCTTTCCTAAACCAACACTTGACCTGAAATCCTCCACTGGCTTCTCATGTTCACAGGATAAAGTCCAACCTTCTGTGCCCGGCCACTCAGGGTCCTGCTCTGACCCCTCTCTCTGGCTTTACCTCCCACTGGCCTTCCACACCTGTCCTCCAGGGAAGTGAAACAAAGCAGCCACAGGCACTCAGTGGGGCTGTTGCTCAACGACCTGCTCACCTTTCTAGGAACCCCACGTCCTTTCGTGCTTCAGGCTCCTCTACTGGGAAAGCCCTTTCTCACCTGCCAAGCTCCCACTTTACCTCCTCCCAGCCAGCTCAGCGGCCTCTCCTCTGTGAAGGCTGGTTCTCCCCACCCCCAAGTCCTGCAGAATGACTTCCTTCTCTGCCCCACAGACTCTGCCCGCACCTCCAGGACTGCTCTTTCCCCTTGTCTTGAGGGGAGGGACCCGTCTGTCTGTGTATTCCGAGGTCCTCAGTCAAGTCACAGAGCTCCTGAGAGCAGGTCTCAAGCCCGTGCCAGGGGGCCTTCACAATGAGCCAGGTGAACTAGATGTCCGGCCTTTTGGAGAAGGACCCAGACCAAAGGAATGTGGACCTGGGTGCAAATGTCCTTCACCACTCAATGAATATTCAATGAATATTTATCAAGTATGCTGTGTCCCCAGTGGGAGCCTTATGTGCATTATCTCATCTATTCCCTAAGATAGAAGTTATTATCACCATTTTACAGAGAAGGAAACTGAAGCTCAGAGAGGTGTAGTGACTTGCCCCAATCATATGGCCACAAAGCGGTGGAAGCAGGACAAATACAGGACTGACCGTCATCTGTCGCCATGTGTGATAAAATGCCATGAGCTCTCCTCTGATGTAGGGTGGAGTGGAGGCTGTGGGATGTACCTGGGGGACCTGGAGCTGAGAACTGAGGGGTAAATGGGGGTTCTAGGCAGAGAGAAAGAGAAGGATGTTCCAGGTAGGGGGAACAGCCTGTGCTAAGTGTGTGTGTGGTGACACACAGTGGCCTGCCTCCTATGGCTCTGGCACCTGTGGGCTCTTGTTCTAGTGCTGGCCCATCCCCCTCTCTGATTTCCAGATCACTATCCCAGCCACTGCCAGTTGCTGCTGCCCTTGGGATTCCCTACAGGATTGACTTTCTTGGTGCCTCGTGGAGAAGCCTTCTGTTAGACTGATTTGCTGTCTTGTGTGGATTCTGGCGTCTCTTTTTGCTTGGGAGAGGAGTGCAGAGACAGGACTATTAGGAGACCTGGGCAGAGTATGGTGTCTTTTGCTGGTATCATTCTTTCACTCAACATGAATACTTAATCGTGTGCTTATGTGCTCAGCTCTGTGCTGGTGCTGGTGACACTGTAGGCCCCTTCCTCCCGGGGCTTAGAATCTAATAGAGAAAGACATGTATAAATAAGGAGAAAGTGTTCCATAGGTCGTGGCAGACATCGTTAGAGCAGATATATGTAACACAAAGCAGGGAGCGGTCTGTTCTACCTGGGCTGGGGGAATCAGGACAGGTTTCACACGCGGGGTTGTAACTGAGGTGAGGTACGAAAAATTAGTAGTTTTTTTTGCCAGGAGGATGGGAAGTGACATTTTAGGCAAATACAAAACACAGAGGTGTGAAAGAGCATGCTGGTGTGGGCGAGTCCTCAGAGGGCTAGCTGGCCCGGAGTGGGCAGGAGGTTGGTGGACGGAAAGGCTGATGGTTAAGAATGTCCCGGAACTGGGGGTCTTGCATGTGGCGCCGAGGAGTTTGATGCCTTCTGTGTTCAGTGAGAAGCCGTTTGATGTTTTAAAATCAGAGATGAATAAAATGAGCTGGTTTAAATGCTAGAAAGATGACTCAGATTAGAGGGTATGAACGCTTCTCTACCCTGGCTGCACTTTAAAAATATTGGTATCAAGTGCCCATCTTTTTTTTTTTTTTTTTTTTTGTGAGGAAGATCAGCCCTGAGCTAACATCCATGCTAATCCTCCTCTTTTTGCTGAGGAAGACCGG